TCCCAGGGCACCCTGTTTGGTGTCATGGTGAAGTGCGCGGACTCTGATATGGGAGAACCGGGTTTGATTCCCCAATCCTCCACTTGCACCTGCTGGATGACCTTGGGCAAGCCATAGTTCTGATAAGAGCTATTATTGAAAAAAGAGCAGTTTCTGTCAAGAGCTCTCTCAGCCCCACCTACCTCACAGGCAATGCTCCCTCTAAGTTGTGGAGTCTTGTGAGCAAAAATTCTACTTTGCGAGCTACTGGCATTAAAGTTGTGAGAGAGCGATTTGGCTGCTGCATAAATTAGTTTGCCCTGGAGCCATCCCTTCCTGAGCTAAGACAAAAACGCCCGAGCCGGAGGCTTAAAAACTATGATCTAGCTCACACTAACTCTTCTTAGAGGGAACACTGCTCACAAGGTGTCTGTTGTGGGGAGGGGAAGGGAAAGGAGTTTGTAAGCTGCTCTGAGACTCCTTTGGGTAGTGAAGGGCGGGGTATAAATCCAATCTCTTCCTCCTCCTCCTCTTCTTCTTCTCCTTCTCTTCCTCCTCCTCCTCCTCTTCTTCTTCCGTGGTTCAAGCTTTCTTGGATCAAGCGGACATATCTCTCCTCCCTCCATTTTGAGAAATGCACACAGTTTGGAAGCGGAAATGCTTAGCCGATCTCTCTCACTCTCTCCCCGGTGACATGAGAAGCCATAACAGAACAAAAACTAAAAAAAACACCCAACCAAACCCTAACATGCCAAACAACGCGCCCGACATTGCTTGGAGGCAAGTTTTCTTTGATCAGGCATTCCTCTGCTCCTGTCTGCTGTGATATCCTTTGTCACTCCTCCAGTGCCGTTGAGTGAAAAGATAAAAAGGCTTGTGACTCAACTCACTTCTAAGCACCGGCAGAGATAAAGTTACCGATTCGATTCTAGGAACAGAAAACGAGGGAGCTTAACGGATAGGCGAGAGCGTCATCTGCCACCCAGAGACCCGGCAACGTTTGCAACACACAGAAAACGGAAACGGAGGCACATCCCCTTATTCCACAGAATCCCCATGCCGTGACCCACAATCCCCCCACTCTTGACAGACCCCAAAGTCTAGCTAGTTAAATATTTGCATTGATTCAGATCCCAGAGAACAAATCTTCTGAGCCTGTGAATGCCCTAAAAACAAAAGCGGGGGTTCTTTTTCGGTTCTGCAGACAAAACTGCCTCCTCCAGACTTCCTAGCTGCCCTCTCTCTGTGCTCCTCCTTGCCCAAACGGTTTGGCTTGCTTTCATCTTGCTGCCGGCCTCTCCCAGCCCCATCCAGCCTCTCCATCTGTTCTCTCTTCACTCTCCTGCTTCAAACAGTGCCCTGCTGGGGCATAGATGCCCCACCTACTTGGCTGATTATGCCGAGTGCCACCTTGAACAGCCGATGTCTTTCCAGCATCCCAAGTAAAGCAGCATAAGCCAGCATCCCAGAATGAAAGTGTCATTTGCATTTCAAATTACCATTTCAAATGGTTTCAGGTGGGGTTGCTAGGCCGCACTTCGAACCTGGTGGGGGACTCCAGTGCGGCTCATGGCGTCTTTTGGCGTGCACATGGACTGCGTGTGCCGCAATGACATCTCCTAGAAGTGACGTCATCTTACTGGGCACATCGTTCAGGGGACGCTCTAACATTTGGGTCAAAACTCTACGGTCACCATAGAGACTTTACCTGAATGCTAGAGTGTCCCCCGTACAACGTGCCCGGCACGGTGACGTTACCTCCAGGTGACATCATCGCACCAGGCATGTTGGGCATGCCGGGACTCTTCGGGGGCAGGGCTCCCCCACCAGCCAACTGGCTAGCAGGAGAGTGAGGGTCCCAAAATCAGGGGAAACTCCGCCCCCTTTGTGGGATTGGCAAGCCTAGTTTTCAGGTGGGTAGCCATGTTAGTCTATAGTAAAGGTAAAGGTTCCCTTGCTCGAAAGCCTGTTGAGTCCGACTCTAGGGTTGCGGTGCTCATCTCCGTTTCCAAGCCGCAGAGCCAGCGCTGTCCGAAGATGTTTCCGTGGTCATGTGGCCGGCATGACTGAACACCAAGGCGCACGGAACGCTGTTCCCTTCCCACCGAAGTGGTCCCTATTTATCTACTTGCAATTTCTTGCTTTCGAACTGCTCGGTTGGTAGGAGCTGGAACTAGAGATGGGAGCTCACTCTGTCATGCGGCACACTCGGGTCTCGAACTGCTGAACTACCGACCTTCCACAGCCTGCAGTTCAGCCTCTTAACCACAACAAAATTGAGGCCTGGGAGAACCATTGTAAATGGCTGGCCACTGTATGAGACAGGGTGCTGGACTCGATGGACCACTGGATTGATCCAGGAGGGCTCTTTCTATGTTGTCCTTCCAGGCCAGGACACTGGAACCACTCCTCTGGCTGAAAAGGGACACAGGATTCCTATCTTGTTACAGAGGCTAATTTTCTGCATGTCCACCTCTGTGCATGCGACCTTGCATTGTATTGTTCCTCTGCATCCTGACTCCAACTGTCCCTTCTTGGTGATACGGCTCCTGCCTTCTGACCTGGGAATCAGGGCTGATGGATTGTCCTCTTTTCCGGTATCTGACAAAGGAAGCTCTGACTCACAAAAAGCTTATAGCTTAGAAAATTTTGTTGGTCTCTAAAGGTGGCTGAAGAAGAGCTGGATTTTATGCTCTGCTCTTCTCTGACCGCAGGAGTCTCCGAGCGGCTTCTGATCACACCTTCCCTTTCTCTCCAACCCCCCCCCAACACTCACCTTGTGAGGTAGGCGGGGCTGAGAGAGCTCAGAGAGAACTGTGGCTGGCCAAAGGTCACCCAGCAGGCTTCACAGGGAGGAATCAAACCTGGCTCTCCAGATTAGAGTCTGCCACTCTTAAATGCTGCACCACGCTCGCTCCAGGGTTGCTACTGGACTCAAATTTCGTTCTGCTTCAAAGGGTTATTTCAAGTATCTGCATGCATCTTAAGTTCTGAATGTTGAATTCAGTTAATAAAACCTGGCTCGGATCCAGCCAACATTTTTTGCTTGATCTTTCAGACCGTGCATCTCCGCAAAATAGCCTTTTTTCATTATCGAACAGGAACCCCCCCCCTTTTATCCATGGATAAACTGCCTCGGTCAAACCCCCTGAGTTTGACCCCACCCCCCACCTTTATTATATTTAATAAACCCAAATTTCCCCAACAGAACCACTGGAGCGGAGGTGAGACATAAAGTCCAGCTTTGACAACTTAAAATACTGTTATTACTCAGATGCAAGACTAGAGTTTTTTCCAGGCATGCTACAAAAGAAGGGTCATCTGCTATCTGTCTGTTAAGTGCCCTCAAATTGCTTCCATCTTATGGTGACCCTATCAGCTAATTGAAAACACAGTGAGATCACAGCACGTGGAACTGTGGAATCAATTCTAGCGGCTGGTTTTCTTCATAGGATGAAGGAGAAGAGAAGAGGAGAGGAGAGGAGAGGAGAGGAGAAGAGATTGGATTTATACCCCGCCCTTCACTACCCAAGGGAGTCTCAGAGTGGCTTACAACCTCCTTTCCCTTCCCCTCCCCACAACAGGCACCCTGCGAGGTCGGTGGGACTGAGAGAGCTCTCTCAAGGACTGCTCTTTTTCAAGGACAGCTCTTATCAGAACTACGGCTTGCCCAAGGTCATCCAGCCAGGTGCAAGTGGAGGAGGAGTGGGGAATCAAACCCGGTCCTCCCGGATTAGAGTCCGCGCACTTAACCACGACACCAAACTGGTAAAAATCCAGTTGGAAAGTGCACTGAAAGCGGATTATTTAGTGTGTGTGACCGCAGCCATCCATCCAAGGAAATTGTGGCAGATTTTGAAACGGTCCTTTCACAGCTATATTCTGAATTGGAGAAAGTGCAGAATTCGGCCTTAATATTCGGTTCTGATTTAATTCGGCAGCAATACCAAAGGATCACTTCCTTGCTGTTTAGACCCATATTCCTTCTTGCTCTCCTTTGGCGTTCTCCTCTTATTTAATTTGGTAAAGTTTATCTCACGTTCTTTAGAGTCCCCCTCTCTTGCTGGGCCTGCAAGTCAATACCAACCAGCAGGATGGAATACCCAATTAAAAATTGCAACAGGATTTGGACGGCAGAAAACAGGAACCCATCAGAAATCCGAAACAGAGCCTAAGTATCAACATGATGTGTTAAATGGTGAAAAAAAATTCCTTGGCGTGATCCGACTGACAGCAACAGACACTCTGAGACACCCAGTTGTCTGGAGTCCTTGCACAGGGGTCTCCGACGTCGTGCCTGTGGGTGCCACTGCCACCTGTTGACACCTTTCCTGGTGCCTGCCAAGAGTTTTTGGAAAGTGGGCAGGGTCCAGTAGTGCTTTGCCCAGTGAGGCTTTTGATTGGCTCATCAGATTTTTTTAAAAAAATGTTGCTTTGGAAGCAGCTGCCACCACAGCACAAGGACCTCCACTGTGTGGCTGAAGGGAAGCCGCGTATAGGCAAGGAATTATTTTAAAACGGGATATTCATTTTAACAGGCATCCTGTTAAACAGAGCGTCTGCCTGAAACGTGGAAGAGTTACGGTTAAGAGTTATGCATAATCTCGCTTCCTGACATTCTGTGGCTGGCTGAGCTTCCTGTGGGCAGCTGTTTTGCGGTTGGCTCTGCCTTCTGCCGTGGCCGTTTTGCGATGGTGCCCACAGCCTCAAAACGTTGGGGACCCCTTTACCCAAGCCTTTTGTTACTGCCCATGGGGTTTTCTTGGCATAGATACTGGAGTGGGTTGCCATTTCCTTCCCCAGTCCTAAAAGAAACTAACCCTGACTGTTCCCTGGAAGGCCGGATTCTGAAGCTGAAGCTCACATACTTTGGCCACCCAATGAGAAGGGAGCACTCACTGGAGGAGAAGACCCTGATGCCGGGAAAGACTGAAGGTCAAAGAAGAAGGGGACGGCAAAGGACGTGATGGTCAAACAGTGTTATTGAGGCAACAGATATGAAATCGAGCAGACTCTGTAGGATAACGGAAGACAGGAGGGCCTGGCGTGATGTGGTCGATGGGGTCGCAAAGAGTCGGACTCGACTGTGCGAGTGAACAACAAAAACAACTTATCTGAGCCATTTTGATTACAGTACAGCCCCTATTATCCGTGTAGAAAAGCCCCCTTGAATCATTCAGTTTTGCATCGTTTGCGGAAAGCCAGGAGAGCGGGCGCCGCTGTGCCTTAACCATAGGAACCCACCCCTCGAAGAAGAAGAAGAAGAATGAACCTTGTGAACACGGCCTCGGTTGCTGGCACTGTGATTTAAAATGACACCTTTCTCGGAGGGGGAACAGGTGTGATGAAGGGGCGTCAGTGTAGCCAGAGATATGGACTGTTCCAGGTTTAATTTGTTCATTAACGAAGACCTGTGGTGAGCGGAGACCACGTTTGTTTGCAGAAATCTCCAGAGTCAGCAGTCCTGCTCTCTTGACAAGGAAAAATAATTAGCAGGGAACTTTAATTAAGAGATAACAGATGAGTGCTAAAGGATTTCCACTTAATCACTACCAGACAGCCTGGAGCTTGATTTCTATTTACTTCTCCGGCCAAGCCGAGCCCGGCCCAAGGCGCCTTCCTTGCAGGAGAGCGTCGCAATAGGAGGCACCAAGTTGCTGGCAGGGGACGGAAGCCCTCAAATGGGCTTCTGGTGAGCATGGTCCGGTGCCACTGTGCAGCCACACCCCAAGGGCAGTCCCATGCGCAGGGTCACAGAGGCCTTGACGCCATTGCCGCAACCATGGTCGGTTGCCAGAGGCCAAGAATACCATCCCACACGTGGAATGGAAACCTCTCCGCTCAGAGCTCGACATTACCATTGCTATGAAAAGAAAGGGATTGATCAAACCTGCCCCTCCCTCCAAGGAACTTGGGGTGGAATACACCATTCCCCATTCATAGAATCATAGGATGTTAGAGTTGGAAGGGACCTTGCAGGTCATCTAGTCCAACCCACTCCACTCTGCAGGAGCACAGCCGAAAGAGGGCCCTACAACAGAACCGGAAGATGGTCGTCCAGCCTCCGCTTGAAAACGCCCAGAGAAGGAGCCTCCACCACCTCCCGAGGCAGTCCGTTCCACTGCTCAACCACTCTTACAGTTAGGAAGTTTCTCCTGATATTTAGCCGGTAACAACTCCCTTGTAATTTCCACCCATTAGACCTAGTCTTGCAGTCCGGAGCAAGAGAGAATAGATCTGCTCCATCTTCTACATGACAGCCCTTCAAATACTTGAAGACTGCAATCCTGTCCCCTCTAAGCCTTCTCTTTCCCAGGCTAAACAGACCCAACTCTTTCAGCCTTTCCTCATAAGACTTGGATTCCAACCCTCTCACCATCCTGGTTGCCCTCTTCTGGACATGCTCGAGTTTGTCAACCTCCTTCCTAAAATGTGGTGCCCAAAACTGGACACAGGACTCCAGGTGAGGCCTGACCATAGCAGAATAGAGCAGAACTACCACCTCCCGTGATGTGGACACAATGCTTCTGTTAATGCATGCTAAGATTGCATTAGCTTTCTGTGTTATCCTCACAACAGTCCTGCAAGGTAGGCTAGTACCAGGGGGAATTTTTATTTATTTCACTTTGTGTACCGCCTACCTTTCTGACTAAGGCTGTAGTCACACGGCCATTTTGATCGGGTTTCACTGCTTTCCCTCTCGCATTTAAAATTGCTGATCTGACGCCGTCTCTCGCACCAAAAAGGGCTCACTCGCGCAATCCTCCCGGTTCCGTAGTGAGTCTTCCAACACCA